TTCGTATTCTTTCCCATATCATGACGTTTCATAAAATTGACATTTAATTTTGACAAATTGTTGTGAAGTTGGTTACAGTTGGTGACATTGAATTTGTGTTACATTGACGTTTAAACTTTATTCAAAAATAATATAAAAGGTTAAATATATATATTATTTTTAATATATTTTAGAGGGATCAGTTAAGAGATCATGAGGAGAGAGTTACTAGACTGGCCAGCGAGCTCGAAGAACATCGAAAAGCGCCCCCGGAAAGAGGCGCAAAATCGCTAATTGTGCAGAATTACAAAGAAAAAGTGGCCTACCTTACTTATGAAGTAATCAAAACCCTAAATTTACTTCATCTAAAAACATTAATATTTAACATATCTTTTTAGCTTCAAAGATACAGCATTTACGTTCACGTATTAAAATCTCGAATTTCCGATGCGGGAATCTGCGTTTTGGAGAATAGTATCGGGGAATTAGAGGACGAAGCGAGCGGGGTGGGTTACGGTGGAAGCGGTGAAAGTGGATCGTCAACGACAACCGTTTCTGAGGGGAAATCACCGCCCATCAATAGGTACAGTTACAGGCAAGCTATCTATAACAACCGAAATGTGCACAATGGTGAAGCCGACGTTGGCTGACGCGTTCTTGGCGTCTTCTCGGCATGTGTGCTTTAAAAGAAACAATAACACGTATTAGATTTTAAATTATTCAAAAAAAAAAAATCGAACAAAAAAAATACGGAAAATTATTTCTTATTTTGGTTTTGGGGTTATTAATATTTGAAGGGTGCTAATTTCTTTTCCTTTTTAATGCTCTCTCTGTATGCTATTTACAATTTTTTTATGTTGGTAGCTGTTTGATTGACCTTTGAACTTGGTGGAGATCGTTGATGCTAATTTATCCGCTTATTGTGATCACATAATTGGGACGTTTGTACTTATATTTATTAACTATTTACGCTTTTCTTTTTGAAATATCTTTTTTTATTTAGATAAAATACTTTTCGTTCTTTCAGTATTAATGAAGGCATTTTTAAGTACTTTTTATTTTGAAAATAATTGAAAGAAAAACGGTAGTGTAGCTATATTCGACGAAAAAGCTAATAATCAAACAAGAATTATTAGAACAATTAGGAAAAACTAAATAAATAAATACATTTTGAAGTAATAGAAGAAATTTCATCCAAAATGGCCCAGAAATATATAATTTTTTTAGTATTTATAGCTACATCACTAAAAAGGAATGATGATTTGACGAAAAATAATAAAGGTTTAATTTCCTTTTTGTTATTTAGTGCCTAAGAGTGTAAATTAATTTCTGTACATATCCATTTTAATACTTGTAAAAAAAATATTTAGTAATATCCCTTTCAAACGGAAATTTTCTGGTTAAACTTAAACATGTAGATGTAGATGGGGGGCTGTGAGCGATATTTTCTTTAAAAAAACCAACCCCAAAATCTATTTAATATTTAAATTTAAAAATAAATAAAAACAAACTAAGATTAAACAAACAATAACGTTCTAATCTTAATTACAAATTGATTAATTATTGTTATTTAGCATTGCAGTTGAAAGAAATTAAAAAAAAAATAAAAGGGGGAAAAACAAAATGAAAAAATGAAAACTAATAAAAGTAAAACTTTGAATTTCCATTTTATAGGTTTACAGCTATCTCAGTTCATATAAAATACTTTCCGAAATACGAGCCCTTAAGAGGTGATAACTGACACAGGTTTGTGTTGTACCATTTAAAACCGCTATAATTAATATTATTATTATTATTACAAAGTGAGAATTGACACCAAAAACCCATTTTTTTCTCATTAACCTTAAAAAATTAATAATTAAAAAAAATAATAAATGAAAAAATAAAACCCTCAGCTTACACTTAACACCAAAATACGTTTCACGTTTTAACGTTTGTTTTTAACGTTTTAATAAAGGCTATTTTTGCCAAAATATGATTTTTTCTTTTCATATGCTTAACTGCTTTATAACTTTATTTCTCCCACCCCCCAGAAAAATTATTAAAAGAAATCCCTAAATCATTTCTTTTTGGTTATGTTAAATTCAATAGTTTTTAAATATTTATTAGAAGTGTCGTGTAAAAATAGATATGGGGAACTTCTGATTATAAATGTTAACTTTAATTTTGTGATATCTTCAAAAACATTATTATTAAGTTATAATCTCCCTGTATTTTTGATTATATCTACTCTCATTTTTCCTAAAACCTCTCTTCTCCCATAACTTCTCTCTAGTATAACTACAAAGTTAGCATCTAAATTGCTTGGCCAAACTTCACCAACGTTAAGTATCAAGCAAAACTAAATGTTATACATCTCTAGTCTTTGATACATTTAATATTTTATGATAAATGATCTCAATCCTAATATTCCAGGTTATGTGATAGCGAAGTTAGTCTTGGAATGATAACCAGAACTTAAAGAAACATCCTGTTGGTGCTAACTTAATGTTAAACAAAAATCTTTTTCAAATATTTAGGTCCACATCTGCCCCAATAATTTAGTTGTCTTTTTAACTCTTTTAGCTCTCCCCTTCTATTCCCATTTCATTGTCAACCAGGAGTAATTCGTTTTATGTTTGAACATAAATATATTAATAATCATTTTATTTTAAATTTGAATTTAACATAATAAAAAAAGATCACTTTAGATTATTATTACACTTATTTACACTTGTTTCATTATTATAAATTTAATAATATATTTTTTACAATTTATAAATTAATTAAAAAGTAATAATAGTGTTTTAAGAAAAACAGTTTTATAATAAAAGTGATTAATTCAAAATTTCTTTTTAATACAAAAAAAAACTATACTTACAGTAAGTAAACTGTTTTTATCTCTTCCGTTTTTATTTTATTTTTAACTTTTTCTCTTTGATTCTTTAAAAAATTTCATTATTATGTAGTAAATTTGGGCTTTATCCTTAACTTTTTGCTTGAATCCCGTTTTTGGACGATGCTTTTTGTAATATAGTGTAAAAAATATATTAACAATTTCGCATGAAATGAAAATTATAATTAATTAAGAAGATGCACGTTTATCTTAATCTTTAAATCGTTCACAAATTCGCTTTGCTTTAAACATAATTTAATAATTATTTTTTGTTTAAGAATGATTTATTTGCTTACAAAATATAACGTTAAATTGTTTTATTTAACTTTTGTTCTCTTTTTATTTAAAAAATATTTAGGCAGACGACGGACTAATGAAGAATAAAAAATAAGATATATAAAAAGGGCGGATGTCTCGTGCAATAGGAATCGATGAATTCAAAAGGAAAAGAAGATAAATAATAATAGAAAAAATCAAGTTGAAGTAATTCTTTTCGAACAAAAATAATATCATCCCTTCATAACATTCAATTTTTAAACAAGAAACAAAGTTGATTCGTTCTATTTACCAAAGAAATTAGTTTATCAAATTTACTAAGCTGGATAATGTTTAAATGCGAACGAACGACACCCATTATATATAATTATATAATTATTTTTTATATAGATACGATTATTATAATTGCTTTTTCGCCGCTACATTTCCATCTATTTTTTAATGTATATAATGTGCTTTAATTGTATTTTTTATTTCATCTGTGAAATATATTTTATTTTGAAACCAACGATTTTTTTTAACCAGAATTAATGCTATATTTACAAAAATAGGTTTACCAGGAAAAGAGTTAGATGAAATAAAAATAAATTCTATTGAAAGGGACATAGAGATATGTGATGAAATGCTCATTTACAATAGAATTTGAAAATTGGTATGTATTTATTACTTGTGTTGTTTTGGCAAATACTAGGAACATATTTAAAAGATTAAAAAAATTGTTCTTTTCTTACTTTTTTATAAATATAGGGAATTTATATAGGGGACATCAACACTTTTGCATAGGAGTAATAAGAAATTGGAAGAACAGTTAGCAGATCTAAAAAAGGAGTTTGAAGAGTTTAAAAATAATAAAGGAAGATATTTAGCTCCTAAGGTAAGCTTATTACTCCCAAAAACTACTCCATCACAGGAATTAGTGGATTTAAAAGACACCAATGGAGAATGAAATCTATCAATAAGCACAAAGTATTTAAAGTAAGTAGTATTTAAATAAACAATGTGATGCTCGTGGTGATAGAGCTTAATATTTTACTTTTGTAACAATAATGAATAAAAAATTAAAGTATTTTGTTTTTTTAATTGAAAAAGTGTTCATTAATAAATCCATTAGCAAATCCGTAAGTGCGGTAATCTATAGAATATCACCTCGAAATTTCGAACGGTATTTATGAATAATATTTTCTATTACCACATCTACCACCATGTACATAAAATATGCTTATAACGTCATTTTGCGGTTACCAAATGATTTTTCTTTGAAATTATCTTAAAAATAGATTAAATAATACGTTATTAACATTATTAAGTAAATAAATAATAAAAATATACACTTATTTCTTATTTTTTGCACGGTTGGCACCAACCCCAGGGATCTTTGATAGGAGACTTATCGAAATCCCACCGTAAGATGGCATTAGCGTCTATACTGAAATAATTTAATTAAACTAACAATTTTATTATTAATAGTGGGAATGATGAGAGACAGCAATAACAATTATTACCAGTATCATTCTTTTAAATTAAAAAGTATAGATTCCAATTCGTGTTATATTTTTAAATTTGCCGCTAACTTCAACTTAGTTGAAGTTTTTTCAGAATGACGGATGAAAACGTCATTTTAAAGTGATTTTTCGGTAAGAGTATTATAAAGTAATAATGGTATGATTAAATATTTAGCTTATAATTAACATTATAACTTTGTTTCAACTAACGTTATAATTGGTTGGAAGCTCGTCAGATGCAATCTCACATGTCATATTATGATGCAGTGATATTCAAATGTGGTGGCATTATTTGACAGGTGTAATTGCATTTGAGGAATTCCCAATTAGTTCGGAACGGTACTTTCCACAAACAGTTAATCTGTGGTTGGAGCTTTTATATATAAACCCAATCTAACCTGTATTCTAGTGGTTCGGTTCTTAGTTGAATAATTCCAAAATATCCCTAACAGATGGCGCCACATGCGTTCAAATTTGAAGTTTGATTTTGTATGGTTGGCATTATAGAAAATAACCTCAAAAAAACTGTCAAAACAATTATGAACGTTAAGTTTGAGTTTAATGATACTTTCGACAATTTTTCGCTTCCCAACACATTTAAACCTAATAAGGTGTTAGAAAATGTTAAAATTGCTGAAAAGACATTAATCGATAAAAATGAGAAAGAAGATATTGGAATTATTTCGTTCGACGACAGCGATTTTTTGAATGTTTCATTAACAAGTTTACTTGAAGAGATAAATCTCGAAGATCAAGTGAAAATTGATAACAAAGAAATTGTTTTAAATAAAAATGTGAGTAATTTTATAATTAATAACAAAGGCTGTGATAAAATCAATAATAAAGAAAGTGATAGTAATTCATGGGAAAAAGTAGAAAATAATTTAGAAACATGTAATTTTAACGAAAAATCTACTTATAATTATAATATACAAAGCGATAGGAACACAATTAATTATAACAAATTGAATAATTCGAAAGATCTTTTTGATTGGTCGGACGATAATTTTTTAAATGAATCTAATGGTATAGATAAAAATAATTTAATGGTAACAAATAATTGCAACAAAGAAAATAAATCAAATAATCTAGATGGTGAGTTATCTGAATGGAATCTTTTTGAAATTGACGAAAAAAATAAATCAAAAAAGGATAAAATCCATCAATTAGAATCATTAAATGATGAAGAAAAAAGTGAATCTTATTTTGGAAGTCATTTAACCTGTAATTTATCAGATTGGAATATCCCAGACATGATTCTTCAAAAATATTCCAAAAACAACGTTAAAACAATGTTCGATTGGCAATTAAAATGCTTAAATAACCCAGAAATTTTATTAAACAATAAAAATTTGGTTTATTCCGCCCCAACATCAGCAGGAAAAACTTTAGTAGCGGAAATTTTAGCCATTAAAACCTTAATAGAACGCAAAAAGAAAGTGATTTTTGTTTTACCATTTGTATCGGTTGTTAGAGAGAAAATGTTTCATTTTCAAGATTTATTAAGTACAAGTGGAATACGAGTTGATGGTTTTATGGGGTCTTACCATCCACCTGGAGGGTTTAAATCGGTTCAATTAGCGATTTGTACCATAGAAAAAGCTAATAGTTTGATTAATCGATTGTTAGAAGAGAATGAATTAGATGAAATTGGGGCGGTTATTATCGATGAAATGCATTTATTGGGGGATCCAAGTCGAGGTTATCTTTTAGAATTACTCTTAACGAAATTAAAATATATGATTAAAAAAAATAATTCGCTTAATATACAAATAATTGGGATGTCGGCTACTTTACCAAATTTAGATTTATTAGCGAATTGGTTAAACGCCGAATTATTTACAACCGATTTTAGACCAATACCTTTATTCGAATGGTGTCATGTAAACGGGGAAATTTATGATAATAATTTTAAATTAATCAGGAAAATTGAGCCGGTTAAAGAGTTAGATAAAGATGTCGATAATATTTTACAGCTTTCTTTGGAAACTATTAAATCGTCTTGTTCAGTTTTGATTTTTTGCCCTACAAAAAATTGGTGTGAAAGTTTATCACAACAATTATCGGTAGCTTTTTGGAAATTAGGAACGAACGAAAACGATTTAGGAAAAATTTTACGCTCAGAATTAAACGTCGATTTAATTAAAGAAGTTTTTGAGCAACTCAAACGTTGTCCGGTCGGTTTAGATAAAATTTTAGCAAAAACCGTCGCTTTTGGAGTCGCGTTTCACCATGCGGGCTTAACAATGGACGAAAGGGATATTATTGAGGGTGGTTTTCGTTCGGGTGCAATCAGAGTTTTGGTGGCAACCTCAACTTTATCTTCAGGGGTTAATTTACCGGCGCGACGAGTTATTATTCGCACCCCTAATTTTTGCGGGAAACCTTTAGATACTTTGACGTATCGCCAAATGATTGGGAGAGCTGGGAGAATGGGGAAAGATTCTTCGGGGGAGAGTTTATTGATTTGTCAAAAAAATGATTACAACATCGCTAAAGAATTAACCTCCGCTAATTTAGAACCCGTCCGAAGCTGCCTTCAATCGGGAAAATTAAAACGCGCCATTTTAGAGGTTATAGCGAGCGGTGTTGCGAATACTTTCGAAGATGTTAATTTATTTACAAGTTGTACTCTTTTAAATGATCTAAATTTAATCGATGAAGCAATCGAATTTTTGAAACGCAACGAATTTATTCGTTTACAAACTGTGGAGGAAAATAAATTAAAATACGTCGCGACTCATTTGGGGAAAGCTTGTTTATCGTCGTCTTTACCACCAGAGGAGGGGTTAATTTTATTCGGCGAATTAGAAAAAGCTCGGCGATGTTTCGTTTTAGAAACTGAATTGCATCTAATATACTTAGTAACGCCGTATTCTTGTTGTAATTTATCGATTAATTGGATGTTTTATTTAAATCTTTGGGAGAAACTCCCCGCGAGTATGAAACGAGTCGGAGAATTAGTCGGGATTAGAGAATCGTTCATTTTTAACGCATCCCAAGGAAAGATCCAATCCGAACAAAAATTACAAATACATAAACGTTTTTACACCGCCCTCGCCCTTCAAGATCTCGTTAACGAAGTCCCGTTAAATAAAGTTGCGTTAAAATTTAATTGTTGCAGAGGTTTACTTCAATCCTTACAACAATCCGCTTCAACATTTTCCGGTATGGTTACAGCATTTTGCAAACAACTCGGTTGGACAAGCGTTGAGTTATTAATCTCACAATTTCAAGATCGATTACATTTCGGGGTTAATCGAGACATTTTAGATTTAATGAAGCTACCGATTATGAACGGGCCAAGAGCTAGAACTTTATTTAACTCCGGCATTGAAAATTTATTAATATTAGCCTCATCGACCGTTGAAACGATCGAAAATATTTTACACAAAGTTATGCCATTTGAAAGCGAAAAGGAACGCGAAGGCGAAAGCAAATTCGACGTTGATAAAAGAAATAAAATTCGTAGCGTTTGGATTACAGGAAAGCGCGGTTTAACCGAAAAAGAAGCGGCCGAAATGCTTGTTAATGACGCGAGGAGGTTTATCGAGTTAGAAATGGGGATGGTTAATATTAATTGGGGGGATAAAAATGATTGTGTTGAAGAAAGTGGGGGATTTAAAGCGAATTTGTTGTATAAAAAGGATTTAGAGATTAACGAAAATTTAGATCAGGGTGAAAAAGAAATAAAAAAGAATATTTTATCCCCAACTATTATAAACACATCGAATGAGTTCGTAGCTCCATCTCAACATTGTTTATCAACTATCATAACCCCTATTAATCAAATAAAACATCAACAAAAAGCATCGACGAGAAATAAACGGAAATTATTTAATTATTCATCAGAAAGCGATGTGCAAGAAACACCAGAGAAGAAACGGAAGAGGAAAAATAAAAATAGGAAAAAAATAGATCCTTTTATAATCGGTGAGAATCGTATATTTTTAGAATAACTTCCAAGTTCTTCTATTCTTTCCTTACACTTCATCCTAAGTCTTATTTTTTGCCTCACATACCTCTTTTTACTATTGTGTTATGTTCCATTCTAATGATAAGGGCGTACCAGTTTAGTTGCTTTCTCTCTATTTTGCTGATTATCTCTTCTTGATCTTATTTCCTCATTCTGTAATTTTTCGTAAAATTTTCATTGCCATTGTTGTGCCATATACTTTCAATTTTAGCTTTTTATCTATCTCCTTTTTCCCAAAAATTGTTCTGTTTAGACTATGATATACGTTGTTTGTTTTCTTTATTCTTGCATTTATGCCTAAGTCCATCCTTTCATCTTGTGATATTATACTGTTCCGTAATAAATATTTCTTTTGGATTATTTCTTATTTCCTTTTTATTTATTATCACGATTTTACATTTATTTACGTTCAATTCTATGCTTTTCAATTTTTTCTGTTCCTATTTTAACTAGCCTTTTTATGGTTCTCTGCTATCAGCACTATGTCGTCTAATTTTTATAACCTATTACTGTTTGATATTTATTTGTTCTTGTATTTTTTATCACTCTGTCCATTAATATTATAAATAACAAGGGGCTTAGGCTATTTTCTTGCTCATTTCAAAAGTTTTTGATGTTTCTCCCTTCATTTGTACTATTCCCTTGACTTGTTCTAGACACTTCCAGAATATTAGGTATACTTTAGTGGTGGAACGGATAGTTACCAAGTAGTTTTCTCATTGAATACAACTTTATTTGTCAGTAGCAACCTCAGTGTAACAATCCCAATACGATAGTTTTTAGGAATAGGCATGTATTACGATTGAATAAAAGTGCAATTATTTTTAAGGTTAAGTGGAAGAGCAGAAGCGGGCCATATTATGGTCGCATTCTGAAATTCGCCTTAGGATTTCCACCTGTTTTGTATTTAAGTTATTTTTCTTTTTAAATATTGTTTTTTTTTTTCTTTTTTGATTATCTTTATTTTGCATTATAGTAACTATAGTTACTATTATTATTGTTTGTTCTCTTTACTCTGCAAATAAAGGCAGTTTATTATTATTATTATTATATATAAAATGTCTTGTTGCAGTTTCGTCTAGCTTTCTTCTCTTCGCTTGTAATTTTCATCATCACATTCATTACTAACAGAACTGTCGCTGTTATTACTTTCGATTAATAATTAAAGTATCCACTTTTTAATGCAAAAAGCCGTTTTGAAAAATCACTTTTAGTTCTTGAGAAAAAAATTTTTGAAATGATCGACAATTTCTTCAAATTTTGTTTAAGTTTTAAAAATTCATATAAAATCCAGTTCTTGGAATATGAGTATGAAAATTTCCCAAAGTGTTAATAAAAGTGTCTTCTTTCCAATGAACCAACCCGTTTTGAAAAATAGCTTTTAGTTTTTGAAAGAACAATATTTGAAGTTTTGATAAAATTTTCGATGTTACAATTTTCAAAATTCGCCATAAAATTCATTTCTTGAAGGGTCCTTGTGGAAATATCACTAATTATTAATTAAAGTATCCTTTTTTTAATGCAACAAGCCGTTTTGAAAAATCACTTTCAGTTCTTGAGAAATTAATTTTTGAAATGATCGATTCGAACTTTACAATTTTCGCCGATTAAGTTTTAAAAATTCGTATAAAATCGATTTCTTGAATGGTATGGTCCATTACTAAGGTTTTATGCATAAAAAGTATTTCCCCATCGCTTTTAGTTTTTGAGTTATGATTGAGTTAATTTTCTAAAATCAACAATTTTGATGTTTAATCGATTTAGAGCTTATAAATAAAAAAAGGTAATAATTGGGTTCAATCTTGTTATGGATCTAGTCTTTTTCGCCCATTACTAAGGTTTTATGTATAAAAAGTATTTCCCCATCGCTTTTAGTTTTTGAGTTAT